TGCCGACTAAGGGTCAAATTTGCCAACTAAAAATCATTAATGGGGGTAGGGGGGTGTTCATGTTGTTTTCCTTCCGGAACACAACATAAACGACCTCATCCATGTTGTGTTTCGGAAGGATCAATTTTGGGGTCACTTTTTTTTCTAATCTACATTAATGAATTGCATAAAGCTTCTAACCTTTTAAGTAATATTTGCAGATGATACTAATTTATTTTTATCTGATAACAATATTAATAAACTTTTTACTACTATGAATAAAGGACTCAAAAATATTTCTAACTGTTTAAAATGCAATAAACCCTAAATAAGAAAGAAAACAAATTGGATCCTTTTTCATTCGATAACTAAAAAACGATATTTACCCTCAGCTCTACCTGATACTTTTATTGACCGAATTGAAATAAAAAGAGGTTCACAAAATATTTAGGTGTTTTATTTGATAAGAAGATCACATGGAAGCAACATATTAATTATGTTGGTAATAAAGTTTCCAAATATATATCAAAATTCTTTATAAGGCCAGAATCTATATAAATAAAAAAGTTTTATCCCAACTTTATTATGCATTCATTCATAGCTATATGAATTATGCAAATATTGCTCGAGCAAGCACTGAAAAAAGTAAGTTGCAATCTCTCTATCGCCGTCAGAAACGTAATTTATTTTGCTCATCGTTTTTTTCACTTTAAACAACTTTTTTCTGAAATAAGAATACTTAATATTTACGAACTTAATATTTTAAATATTTTATGCTTCGTATATATGTAATATATATATATATATATATATATATATATATATATATATATATATATATATATATATATATATATATATATATATATATATATATATATATATATATATATATATATATATATGTATATATATATATACGAAGTTGAAAGTAAATGATATGGAAAACCTAAAAAATGAAAAGTGGTCTTTGCACTTTGATGGAAAACACATAAAGAAAATGGAATATCAAGTAGTTGTTTTGAAGTATGAATTAAATTGTTAAGTATGAATCTTTATTTTCTTAAGAACCAAAAAAAGAATTTTCCCAAAACAAAAAAAGATTAATTCTTAAATTCAATTTTTCACATCTTGCTATACTTGCTATTCCAATGATTAGTTTAGATTTTTATGTTATCTTTTTTTCTTTTTATTAAATTTTATTTATTTGTATTTCTACATTTGTAAAAGTTAATTTGCTAGTTATTTATAGTATATTTATAATATATTTGTTTTAATATTTAGATTATCAATAATAACATTTATTGTTGTTTAGTAAAGTGTAACCTATTTTACAGCATAAAGATAATTATTTAAAGAAGGAAAAACTTTCTGTATATCCACTAATGCTTTCATCAGTGGATTTGTAGAAAGTTTTACCAATATTGATTTTGATGCGAAATAGCACGACATGGAATTGTGAAGTTTGTTCTGTAAATGAAAATTTTGGTGGTTCTTAAACTATTCTAAGTACAAAAGGAACAATTGTCTAAACATGGAGCCTAACTATAATATATATATATATATATATATATATATATATATATATATATATATATATATATATATATATATATATATATATATATATATATATATATATATATATATATATATATATATATATATAATCTTTCTCCTGCCGTTTTTAATGCCTTGAAATCTACCAATAAATACTCTCTAAGAAATACCAACCTTCTATATGAGCCTTTTTGTCAAAAAATTTTTAACCAATTTTGCATTGGTGATCGTGTACCTCATTTTCGGAATAAAATTGTTTTGCCTAATTTTAATTTTGATCTATCTTCTTCTTTGCATCTTTTTAAAATTAGGCTGAACTCTCTCATTCAATCAAAATTTGACAATAATATTTATATTATGGAAATATTTATTAAACTTTATTACCTATACTACAAAGTGATATATGTATGTATATTTTATTTTATTATGTTGTACTTATAGTAACTTTATAACCAAATATTTTGTTTACACCAGTATAAGGTTCTGACAATATGATCTTACTGATCTTCTTTCTGATACCTAGTTTTTCAAATGTTAGTAGCATTTGCTTACTTTATAAATTGTATTAATTTTTATCTGCTCTCATGATATTGTAAAAAGGAACTTACAAATGTAAAGTGAAATGTTGAAAAAATAAAAAAATAATAATAAAAAAATATATAGATATTACAATATTTTGGCTGCAACAAACAACTCATTGTTAATATGCTCAACTTATGTAACGTTCCCCGAGAAGTATCTATAACAAGTTCTTTAATATATTTTATTCGGTGTACGATTGAAATTTTACTCGGTGTAGTCTCAGGAAAAATTCTGGAACCAAAGACAAAATAGTTCTTGCATTACCAATGGACTTAAAAAATCTTCAAAAATTTAACAAAAATTATATATAAAATACATTAATTTTTAATTTTTAAAAACTTCTAATTAAAAAAAATTCTTAAAAATTTGAAAAAAAGTTATTACTCTAATTATTAAATTTTAAAATGATTCAAAATATCAAATTCTTGAAAAGAACAAGCGTTCGGCGTGGACGGACTAAACGGAAACATAATTATAGACTGCTATGAAAACTTGAATGATATTCTTTTCAAAGTTTTCTAAGAATCTATACAGCAAGGGGTTTTCACTCTAAAAATCTTCAAAATTATAACAATTCACAAAGACGGTGATAAATCTAATGTTAATAATTATCCACCTATTTCTGTCCTCTCTACATTTTCAAAAATTTTAGAAACAGTTATATATAACAAGACATAAACTACCTGATTACGAATAATTTATTTTATAAAAACCAATTTGGCCTATAAAAAAATAAATTTAACTGAAAAAGCTGTTATTCAGTTTATACGTGGTCTCAAAGTCTTTTGGTAAATTATACACTTGGTGTTTTTTATCGATTTGTCAAAAGCTTTTGACACAGTCAACCACGATATTTTATTTAGAAAACTTGAATTCTACAATATTACTGCAGGTTCCTTAAATACTGAAAAAACAAAATGGATTCTTTTCCATTCCTCAACAAAAAAATGTCTTTTGTCAAAAGACTTGCACAAACTTTTATTGATAAAGTAGAAATCAAAGAAGATTCCATTTTAAGTTCCTTAGCATTTATCTTAGTGAAAATCTGTCATGGAAACCACCATATTGATTACATATCAACAAAAGAAGCAAAATGTATTGGAATCCTAAAAATTATTTAAATAAAAGTAATTTTAAACAAATATACTACTCATTTACTCATAGCTACATAAACTAAGCAAATATTGCCTAGGAAAGTACAGGTAAAAACTAAAAATATCTTTATTGCAATCAGAAACATACAATACGCGTAATATATTTTTCAAATCGTTTTTCAAACACAAAAACTTTATTTAAAGATATGAATAGTTTAAACCTTTATGAACTTTAAATTATAATACCTTATAATAACTTAAAATAACTTATGTTTTACGTTTTGTTTTATAATAACTTAAAATAACTTATGTTTTACGTATGAACAACCTGTTATTAAATGTTTTAACGATTTATGTATACATACTAGTGTACGTACACTTTAAGCAATTGCTTTAAATGCTTATAATAAATATAGTTTGCGAAGTAATAGCTATTTCAATAAACCCTTTTGTCAATCAAAGTTTAATTAATTTTGTATAACTTATCGAGCACCTTATCTTTGGAATAAAATTGTTCAACCATATTTTGGTTTTTCACTGTTATTTTTAGTTTTTAAAAAATAAGTTAAGGAATATTATTTTTTCAACGGGTAGTCTGTTAAAATATTTTTAGGTATAATTTTTAACCATTTGTTTTTCAGCTATATTTATCTTTTAGACAAGGTGCAAAAACGGATTGTAAACATAGTTGGACATGCTCTTGCAGCCGATTTCCAACCACTATTGCATCATCGTAATGTTGCTTCTCTTTCTTCTTTTTACAAATACTATAATGGGCACTGCTCTAAAGAGCTAGCGTCTCTTGAGCCATCTACTAAAATTCATTACCGTGTTACTCGTCATTCAATTAATCTCATTTTTGTTTGCAGCCTGGAAACGATGTTTAAAAAACAAATTAGTTGTTTTGGTTTAAACTACTTAATATTTATTTATATTACAATTTTTATATGGTTCTGAATACAAGATCATTATGACATTTTTCCAGATTCCAAGTTTATATCACACAACATGTATCAATGTAAACAGAAAGATAAAAAAGGAGTTAAGGAAAAATTATAATAAAATATTAGGATAAAAGTAAGATGGCTCCAAAAGAAATTAAAGAGATATTCTCAACTTTGTGTTCAAATAAAAATTTCTTTGAACTTTACTTAAATAATGTCGCAGAAATATGTACTCATCCAAAAGATGTTATCATCCAAGGGTTTTTACAATTTAGAAAAGTTGATATTTTTAATCTGAGAATAGCAATTTTCAGCGAAATTACAGAAAGTTTAGATACGGATCAGTTCACTTCTATTAACATTACTCTTGACGCTGAAGGTAGAAAGAGTCTAAAAAAGTATTATAAATTTGCAACATGTCTAGGTGACATATGTTTAATGCAGGGCCATACCTACGGTTGGGGGGAAGGGGTGTCTAACTCCCCTAGGAAAATTTTATTCAGAATTATTTGGCAAGTTTTGACCCTAATCTTTTTTGGAACTGCCCTAATTTTATGTTGATAACATTAACAATAAAACAGCTTTATAAAATTTTTCATGAATTGCAAACAAAACAGTCAACAATTACACCAATTACCTGATGTAAAGCTGCTGTCGACCATAAAAGAAGCCATAAAATCCTTTACAGAAAAGCCTAGAATAAAGCCTATTTTTGAAAATAAAGTTGTATTCAACAGAAATTTTATTGCAGGAGAACGTACTGTGCGGGAATCTTTGAAGAAGGGGTCTGTATCTCAATATCCGAAGAGATATGAGCCGAAGAGAGAGTCTAACCATATCATCAACAACAACAAAAAAACAAACCCAATGTTTGGAACAATAATATTATCGTTAAATCTTTCACAGTACATCATGATGCATCTTCGCTGAACAAATTTTACTTCAAATCGGATACCAAATCTTAATTTAACGAAAAAAAACAAAGTAATTAAAACCTTCGAAAATTTTTTTTTGTGAGCTAACTAAATAATTATAACTAAATAACTACCAAAGTTTTAAATCAAACTCTGTTTATATTTCCGAACTAGATTCATAAAATGCAAATCAAAATATATAAGGCAATCTAACTTGTATATATATATATATATTTACTTTTTAACGATTATTTTTTAAGAAAAAATAACTTCAGACAGACAAAATATAAGTTACTAATTATTGTTTAAGTAGCAATATTTTAAATTCGGCGTATGACTATGTTTTTAGCGCGTTTTTATTTAAAGTTGTTTTCGTATTCTACTAAATATTATAATTAAAATTATAGTTTAGACTAGTAAGTAATAATATATTATTTAGACATGGATACGACTAATATTCAAGTTGGTATAAGAATAAGACCCTTAATACGCAGGTATAATGAATTTATTAAGTTTTTTTTTTCAAGTTAAAATTTTCCCAGTTTTCTGACTATAAACTTTATTTTATCAAATTATCAAATTTTTAATAGTAACCAAATTTTTCCAATGTTCAACTATTACTTCAAGTTGACAGATTATGTGTCACTCTAATATTTCATTCATTTTTTATAAAATTAGGTTCAATTTTACAAAAAAAAATTAAAAAAAAACATTAAAAAAACAACAACAACAACAAAAAAATAATTAAATTTTTTATGATAAGTAACTTTATGTTAGTCTTTCCTAAAAATGTTTAGCATAAAAACAAAAACAAAATGAAATGAGTTTTACTCGCAAATATACTTTAAAAATGAATAAAAACTACATATATACAAATTGGTATAACAGATAAGCTTATCTATTTTACCTATGTGACATGAAATTTTTAAATTGATAATATACTAGGTTCTTATACATCATTAGAAAGAGCTTCAATACAAAATTTTAAAGGTCAGCGAACCTACCAAAATTATGACGTTATAAGTACCAATTTTTTGATAAATAGATTTTTTGAAGAAACAAGGGTCAAAATTGAATTTTTTGAAAGTAAAATCTTTATAACTTTGTCAATACCTATCTAAAAATCTATATGTTGGTATCAAAAGTTTTGTATAAGAGGGCTGTATATTTACATTGATCACTAGTCAATGGGCATATCCATGGTGTTAGAGAGAGCACTAAACCACAATCTTTATAAACCTCAATAAATGCAAATTTTATCCATAAAAGAGTATTTAAATGAAGTTAGTAGTTATTATATACAAAAAGTTATTATTATTTCATTTTAAACCTTAATAAATTATTAGAGTTGTGTCTAAAAGTTAGGGTAAATATGGTGATGAAGGTTTAATACATCCTAGTGTAAAAAAAAAATTATTCTAATAAATATTTTTTTATTAAAATTGCTATAACAATTACAACAAATAAAACTTGTTGTAATTAATATAACAGTTTTAATAAAAAAATATTCATTACAATTTCAACATATATTAGTGGTGTAGGGGAGAGCAGGTAGGATTCGTACAGCGGGAGCATTCGTACAGTAGGCATATCTAGACCACTCTTTGTTTTGACGCATTTATATTTATGTGTGTGTGAAGACCACTCATGCACAAAGGCTAACAGCTTAGTGCCGTGGTAGTGCTATCCTAATCGTCATTGGAACAAGTTGATACATGTTTTTGCACTGCTAAAGTAATTTTACAAATAATCTTTGAAAACATTTATTTGTAATAATATTTGATCCAATTAATGAAATAATTTATTATGCTTTTTGTATGAGTGTCTTATATTAATATCTAATCAATTATTTTCTAATAACTTTATCCATTATTTTTATTTTGAATTTATATGTTAGTTGATATGGTTGGAGTACATTCATACACTAATAAGTGGGGAGTATTTGTACTGTAAATACGTATGAAAAAACCCGCGCAGCCTTTTTTTCGCATTTAAACAGACAGTCGTAACTGATTTCTAGGAGAAATTAGAAAAGCTTTTGAGAAAATATGTATTCTCTGCATATAGGATATATAATTTTGTTTTTATTATGTTTAATATTTATTTTGTTTCAATTTTAATCTTAATAAATGTTTATTTTCAATAAATATATTTTTAACTTAGTAATAAAGTACCGAACAAAAAACTGAACAAAGCTACCCCGCGTTTGGGGTCCATTCATACGATCTCCATTTTTTCGCAAAAGACATCATAGTACTGTCTTGTTAGCTTTTTTCAAGACTAAACTACAATATTATTAAAGCCAGATATTTAGGTTACTCAGCAGCAGTAAAATTATTTTAAAATAGCAATTATTTTTGCTTTTATACAACTTAGTGTAAAAAGTGTACGAATCCTACCTGCTTTCCCCTATAGTTTGACATAGTGGGTGAGAGACAAAAAGTCCTCCCCCTCTGCCTCTGACCTGAAACTTTTTTTTTTCAATTTCTATTACTGCCCGCTAAAGTTACCAAAACAAAATTTAAATGCAGCTATGATATCTCATGTCAAGTTACTCAAAGGAGTAACTGGAGTGGGAGATGCTCCGTCATCTTTACTATCAAAAAATACATATTTCCTTAACCTAAAATCAAAGAATATTTCAATATTATAATTTGTTTTATTGTTATGCAATATGAAATATTAAAAATATGCTAAAAAACTTACCTATTTATCTGTGTTGTGTCCATTTCTTTAGGTGATGAGATAGTTGCCCCTCTTAACCAAATTTTAAAAAATTATTTGGAAATTAAAATTAAATTATATTTGCAATAAGTTTCCAAAATAATATAATACATTACAACAATATAAAGTTATACAACCCAGCATATTAAGGTAATATTATACAACTGGTATTGAAAGTCTACTATGACTAGAATATTTCATATGTAGCTTAATGGAAAAAAAATTTAAGAACTAAAATAAGGTTACTATTTTAAAATAAAGAATTAATAAAAATCTCATAAACAAGAAATAATATTTGATTACACTGAAAATATATTTAAAAACTCAGTTTTTAGTTTTAGCTTTTAGTAAATGATTTAAATTAAAATTCCAATAGTGAAACTATATAATAATAATTTTTAATGATAGACACCACTTGAAAATAAGCCGGATCTATCAAAAATTTTATGCGAGTTTCATAACTTGCGATAACTTTTTGCAACACTTAAAGTATCTATTTTGTAAGTTTCAACACTCGTCTTATACCTTTTTGTAAGTCACAACATTTGCTGTATCTATTTTGCAAGTTTTATCACTTGCCATACCTTTTTCAAATTGAAACTCTTGCAATATCTATTTTGGCATTATTAAATATTACAATTGTGAAAATAATACACATTAACATTGAGAGTATATTAATTCTCCTGAAACAACATCAGCAGCAAGCAACAGCTTCAGAATCTGTTTCATTTTTTTGCCAGTAAGAAATACTGTAAATTCTATCTTGCAATTTTTTTTTTACTTTTTCTACTCTACCATCATACATGTCAGACTCAGATTGTTGAGTATCATACCATTCATGGCATAATTTTCTACCCACAGTTTTGTCAGACAAATCATCATTTAAGTCATCAAATTTCTTCATCTATTATAATATTATCTATTAGATAGAATTTTGAAAAATCATAAGTTCTAAACCGTAAATTTGGAAAGTGGGATGAGAAAACTTAAAAAATAATGGGTTAAACATTTTTAATGACAGTTACTAAAATTTTATTAATAACCTACTTTAGTAACAAATTGAATAAAAATCTATAAATAATTTTTTTATTTATTTGTTAAGATGAATACTTTTTTAAATAATAATTCAACTGTAAAAACTTGATTTCAAATATATTTTAAAATTTTGAGAACGGCTACAAAATAAATCAAACTGCGTGATTTTTCATTGTTTTATTGAATATCAAAACCACAGAACATATTTCTTCCATTGGATAGACAAATGCATTAAAAACTTAAAGGGATCCCCAACTGCTGAGACAAGTTGTGTTCATATTAAAGAAAATATTAAAAATAAAACATTTAGGCTAAATTTTTGTTGATTAAAAATAAATAATGAATGCACACCATTAATTTTAAAATTCACATTTTAGTCGAAGCTCGCCATCTCCATTTTTTTTGGTTCTCAGAGTCAGTATAATGTTAGCCTCAATTTGCAGACTTGATAATTTATTTCATGCGTGTTTAATTCATAACAGTTTTGGTATCATTTTGACATCATCGTATAATTTTTTTTTCAAGATATTGTATTATTTTTTTGCCACAATCACTACATCATGTTAGTTGTATAACTTTTTACTAAATCCTAAAAAAAAGTTTGTGATACAATTAAAAATTAAATTTATGAAATTTATAAAAATAAAAATTTGATATATAACAAATATTTGCAGTAAAACGTACTGGTTTAAACTAAATATAAACTAGATACTAAAAGAATAATTTTACTAAAGCGTATTAATTAATTTAAAGTGTAAACTGAATAAAAACCAGTGACCAAAACCAGTGAATAAAACGACCAAAAAGTGAATAAAAAGACCAGTGAATAAAAAGACCAAAAACCAGTGAATAAAACATATAAACTGAACTTAGAAAAAAATAAATATTAAACAAATTATTTTATTAACAACCGTACAAATCAAACTAAATTAAAGTTAAAACAAATGTTTGTACTAAAATATACAAAAAAAAGTTATAATATAAATATAAAAACGAAGAATCGCATCAATGCATTTACTACCAGCTGAACTAAAAACTTTTCATAGCGGCCACACATTTTTTTGAATAAAATTTAAATGGCATATCATTGACAATTAATTAAAATTCGAATAGTAAATCTCTTTAAAAGCATAACAAACTATATATCAATAGATAGCTAAACAAATGTACATTTTATAAAATAAGTTTTTAACACGCATCGTTAAACAATACGAAATTCAAAATGCTTAAAACCATTGTTTTTATAAATAGTAACTAAAACATTAAGTCCAAAACAAAACTCATTTAATGAATAAAAATAATATTTTTTTCTTCAAAAGACTTTGTTTTTACTTAACTAAATCTTAACTCTTCTATAAGTTTTTGCAGTGTTAATGCTGTTTTATTTTTAATTTAAAGAAGTTTTTTTTATGAAGGATTATTTTTTCAAGATTTTTTCTCTGCCTTCTCTAATAATCACAAAATATGTCTAATTATGTCATAATTTTGGCTGGCTAAATATATATATATATATATATATATATATATATATATATATATATATATATATATATATATATATATATATATATATATATATAATTAAAAAAACAACAACTAAAAAACACTATCTTAAAAAGATACTGAGATGAGATCATATACCGAAACTGTTATGAATTAAACATGCATGGAATAAATTATCAAGTCTGCAGATTACGGCTAACATTATGCAGACTCCCAGAACCAAATAAAATGG